GATGTTCTTTACGTTCCTTTAAGTAGAGTCAATATTTTAAAAAACGGGTTTATTAGTAGATTAAGTTCCTCGTATAACAAGTTAGTTCAGGACTATCCGTCTTTAGATTTATTTAACTCCAATCTGCACATTGTTTTAGGCGTGATTAGTTAAAATTAATTTTGTTTGTGTTTCTGTTTCCGTCGTCTCGTCCTTTGTTAACCATACTGTAAGTGGCGGATTTGTGTCCGCTGTTGTTTTGGTGAATAAATAAATTTTTAAAAAATAAATAAATGTATTATGACTTCTCTGTACTAAAGTATACATGCTGATTTCTGAGTTTAACATTTAGCGGAAGTACTCTGGTTTTGGGGATTGTAAGCCTCATATCTCAAATGCTATGGTCAATTTTTAGAGCTCTTGGAGTTTCAATTCAGTCTTTCACTCCAGAAGCACGGGCTTCCATTTTGGACGGCCTATTTCGTTTTTCTGCCTAAACCCCTGCCACTAAGTCTAAAGACTAGTTTCCAATGCAGTACACACGTTTTTGGATATTAGTTTATTCCGTTATTAGACATGTTTTTTATCCACATTTCCTTTTAACTATGTATTATATTTCAGTACCATGTACATTTCAAAATGCCATTCTACTAATTACTAACTGTAACATTTTAGAGTATTCATTGTGGAGCTGCAAATGTGTATAGCCAATAAGCAGTCTTGTAGTTTTACATATTCCGTAACTTATTAGTAATGTCAAAGGTCAAGTCATATAAATTAGAATTAGTATGCTAATAAAAATTGTAGGCTGGTCATCTTTTCTTAGTATACAAGCAATAATTGTTGTAGAGGTCACTGAATTTTTTAAAAAGTCTTGTAACATTATATTAAGATCGCAATGGTCCCCGAGCATCACATGGTCTTTTACCGGAGAACCTTCTGTGGACGTACATCGTGCAAATCAGCTCGACAATCCGTTCCATACACGCTGCAGGCCTAGCGTGTCGTGTCATTGACCCAAGGAAGGTCCTTATCACGGCGCGAAATCGTCTGAGGTTAAATTGCGTGGGAATATTTGACGTTTTGACGTACAACTCGAATCAGGGAAATCTCATAACAGTGATACCACACTACCAAGTAAGTTCTTGTGATAATATTCGTTTATTTGACATTCCAAGTTATGTGATTTTCCAGGCAAAAGAATTTACCAAACAAAGGAATGTTTACTCTTTCTCCTTTGTTGCTCAATTTCCTTTTCACGACATGACAAAGGAGAATAGTATTATTATAGTTGTCTGTGGGTTGTGTTATTGTGAATGCACCACATAATGTGTGCCAATGATTCTAAAGAGTAGATTTCAAATAGAGCTCAGTCAGCTAATCTGGTGGTAGCCACTGTGTATGCGCTGAACCGTGGAGATCTCTAGGTCCCCGGTTCAATTTTCATCACTGCCTCTCCTTGTGTTTCAGCTGGAGAGCTGAAATACAAGTTAAATAGTGCACCGTGTTTCGGATGAGACGTTTAAGCCATTGGTCCCGTGTGCATTTATGGCCAATGTGCACGTTAAAGAACACAGTGCATTCTTCGGAAAAGAGTAGGGGATTGTCTCCCGGTGTACTGTCCAATCACCACCAGAAGGACCCCACTGGAAATAAGTCGTCTTCTATACTTTCGTGGGCTGTCCTTGGTGTTTACACCGAATAAATCCAATCCAATCCAGCCATACTATATATTATATTACCAATTTTATATTTTGCCATGTACACTTTACATTATTAAATATATACTGAATTCAGCAACATGTTCAAATATTCTAATATGAAGTTGTTAGCAATTGTAATTTAAATGTGCATTTTGTTTATCATTACTATCTATTTTTTTTATCCTTCAATCTGGTTTTAATCTTAGTATTGTTCTATTATTGTATTTGTCTTATTCAGTTTTTGTATAATTTATAAATATTTTTATCGTGTCTTTTCACATTTATCATTCACTTGTATTTAGCAATATATTTATTTAATTTACAGCAAGATGATCTGATGGCTTTTGGGCGCATGGTTTTAGCATTAGCTTGCAACTCTCTGGACGGGCTTCACCGCGACCAAATAAATGCGTCATTAGAACTTGTCTCGGTCAATTACTCCAGTGATTTGAAAAACCTTATTTTGTAAGTAAATGTGTTGCCACTGGGGAAAAACTTACTTAACCACTTTTTTCCACCTTTTTCCCCCAGTTTTTGAAATATTCAAAAATCTGTATCTCATTAACCATTCCCTATTATTTTTTTGTCAAATTTTTGTGTCTTGAAAAAAATCTGTTTAACAAAAAATTGTTTTCCACTGGAGCCTGGCTTTAAGAAATAATTATATTTCAATATACAGCAAAGCCCTTTATTTTTGGGCGCCATGAATTTTTGTGATAAGACGACAATCCCAATAGTTAAGGGCGCGTGAAAATTGTGAATTTCTGGAATAATAGTTTTTGCCTTCAGATGCAAAGCAATGACTATAGCTGTCTTGGCTAGCTAGGCCAATACATCACACTTCACTTCACACAGTGCTAGACCTACTAGAGTGGTGGTGCTAGCTAAGCCTAAGCCTACCTTTAATGGAATAAAATTCACAGCATTGTATTTCTTCTATAATACAGATATTTCGTAGTTGATAATTAATTATTAAATATTAATATTTACTATTATTATATTATGACAACTGTCGGTAAACAGTTTGATCATCTTCGTAAGGCCTAAATTTGCTGCAAGATTTCTGACATTTTGATTTGAAAAGACCTTGTTCAAGCCTGCCTTGGAGTAGCTGCAATAGGCTTGCCTTTGGTAGCTAGCCTAAAAAAATTGGGAGAAATCACCAAAATTGGGAGTTCTAGCTAAATTAAAAACTAAATAAATCATAGTTCTAGGTTTCTGCATCATTTGGAAAAAGACTGGAAATTATAAAATCACGGAAATAAAAGGCCACAAATATTTCAAAATCGCGAAAATATTTTACAGTAATTTTTTTTTTTTTCCACAGGTATTTGTTGACCACTCAAGGGAGGCCGAAAAGCATCAACGACATTATGCCCATGATTGGTGCACGTTTCTACACGCAGCTGGATGCGGCTTACATGAGGTCAGACTCCGTCGAGGAAGAACTTGCCAAAGAAGTTCAGAATGGTCGCTTGTTTCGACTGATCGCAAAATTTGGTGTCATTAATGAGAGGCCAGAGTAAGTATACAGTAGACCCCCTATTAAGGGAACACCTATGGGGACCAAAATTTGTCTCTATAATAAAGGTGTCTCCTTAATAAGGGTGTCTTTTTAATACGGTTGTCTTCTTGATAGAGGTGGTTTCTCCATATTCCTTTCTTAATAGGGATAATTTCTTAATAGGGGTGTCTACTTAATATGAGTGTCTATTTAATATGGGTGTTTACTTAATAGGGGTGTTTTCTTAATAGGGGTGTTTCTTATTAGGGGTGTCCTCTGAATAGGGGTTCCTTATTAGGGGTGTACTCTGAGTTGAAGAAGTAAATTCAAAATAAATTGATTTAACTATAACAAAATGAAAAACAGAGATAATTAATAGTTATTATTATTAATATTTTGAGAAATATTTTTTTGATTTAAATTATATTTCTGAAGATTTAACGGTGATCCCGCGTGGTCAGAAACTGGAGACCGGTACCTTATTAGGGGTATACTCTGAGTTGGAGTTGGTCGTAGTGTGTTAAGGGATATATTTTTTTCATTATTAATTTTGGTATTGTTATTTATTAAATATTTTTTTGATTTAAATTATATTTCTGAAGATTTAACGGTGATCCCGCGTGGTCAGAAACCGGAGACCGGTACCTGTTAAAGCTCTTCCGTGATTATCTTTTTCATCAAGTGAATGAGGCTGGAGCACCGTGGATTGACATGGCGCATATTGTACACTGTTTAAACAAGGTACGTTGATGCAAAGGCTTCTAGTGACTCATGCAGTAATAAGAAACATAGTGGGTCTGAATCAAGTTTGGTCCAGACCATCTTAAAGCCCAACCACACTTAATAGGTGCATCAACTCAGGGCCACTGTTTTTTTAAGTGTTTACTATCAATAAATTTTAAGCGGGCCCAAAGCCAACCTAAATTTACTTTGTCTTTAAAGTTGCCAGTGTCATCTTGATAGCTGTCAATTTTGACATCTTATACCATAACATTTCAAGCAAAGGAGGAAGCGGGAATGTTCGCAGTGCAAACTTGAAATACTAATTGTAGTAAAGGCATCGCTGGGCTGATAATAATAAGTGTGATTAGGGTCTTAGCCCCACCATGAAGGCTGGAAATGGCACTATTTTCAATTGCCTCACTGGGCCTCCACTGATTTAATTCACCCATAACTTTTAAAAATGCGTAACATGCTCTCTAAATATTATTACAGCTTGATGCCGGCGTGCCTGAGAAGGTTTGTCTGATGTCGCGGGATGACCAGAACGTACTTGTGGTGTCCTACGCCGACTTGAAGCACTGCTTTGAAACAACGTTCGAGGAAGTCCTGCACGCAAGTCGAGGCTCTACCCAGATACCAGATGTTTAGTAAAACAACATGAAAATTTCCTGAACATTTTGTACTTGGCAAGGTAAACCAGCTTCGTAGGGCAAATCACACATAGGACACTTGTTTCAATGCCCATTTTTCTCTTGCGTAGCCATTTCTCTTTCATATATGGTCATGGGGTTTGTAAGGTGCATTGATATCAGTTGGTGTCTAATGAGACATACCTGAAGAACAGAGATGGCAGACAACCTGTGATAAAGATCTGGAGAGGACATACTAGAGTATTGCTAAGATAGGCAGTGTCCTTGCAAGAGATCCAGTATTTTGGTAGGATACTCCTTTATTCTTTGCTGAATACTCTGGGTCTTGGCAAGACAGCAAGGGCTGTTTGCAAGAGCACCTAAGGTCTTTTCACGTCACCAGATGTCTTACATGGACACTCAGTTTCAAAGAGCCTTTACAAGGACACCTAAGTTATTTTCAAGTCACCAAATGTCTTGCATGGACACTTAGTGTCCAAGAGCCTAACAAGGACACCTAATGTCTTATCAGGTCACCAGATGTTTTACATGGACACTCCGGATCTTTGTAGTATATCCATAAGATTCATCCAGTGTCATATCAGGTACCCAGAGTCTCTTACATCACCAGTTGTCTTGGTAAACACCTGCGATTTTCATATGACTTCTTGGGTCTTGTGTAAGACACCCAGAATACATCATCTGTCTTGTCACTCTATACAGCAGACCACATATTTAATTTTACTCCATGTGTTTGTAAAGCGCAACCATTAGTAAATGTATTGACCACCCACTGATATTTTATTGCAGAGAAATCCTGTTCCTCAGCTGCTTTCTCCCTTCTTGGACCCTTTGGGGGAGATGCAAGATTTTTATCATTGAAGTTTGTTACCTATTGATAGTCCTACCATTTGTGTAGTGATAAACCATAATAGTACATAATTCAAATGTTTAATTTTCCTGGATATAAAGGAAATCATTAATAAAATTGGATCATTCCTAAATATCTGCATTACTATATTATGAGCAGATTAATTGAATTAAAAAAAAATTAATAACATTTTTAAAGATTTTTAAATAATTAAGTTCCCACTAATTATCATAATTTATGAACGTTTTAAAAGTAGCCAAGACGCCATAAGATATTTTGTTTTCTAGCAGACTCTTCTGAGGGAATTTCATTCAGTGATATTTATTATTCTAAAAGATATTTTTTCACTCTCTGGTTACAGATGTAACCAGAATAAAGGTTTTCGATCAAATTTGGCCCACTCTAGTCCATGTAGTAGTACTGTAGCTACCATAAGATCTAATTCTCCCACCCACAGTTAAAAGTAGGAATTTCTGTTGAGACTTAAATTACTGATAAAAAAAAATTGTTTACCTTTTTATAAATAAAAAATTTCTCTGGATGCAAGTTTTTTTTTCATAGAGTTTAGATGCATAACTAATTTGTACTTCACCTTTAAGATGGTCAGATTTAGCAAAGAGATAAAATTTATTTAAAGGGACATTTACTGCTGAACTGATTTTTATACATTCCCTTAAGACAACATAACTTAACATACCTACCAGTTGTCTATACAGTATTTATATTTCAATTCACTGCCAGCAACAGTATCAAAATTGTTGTCCTAAAATTACAATATTTTTTAATGCTCCTATTATTTTATTTGATAAGACACTTCTAAAATTTTAATGGAAACAATCTCTTCAAAATAATTTGGAAGAATCGGTTAACTTTTAATGACTGGTTCTGAAATACCATTGTCTTGCTTTATATTGTTCTTTCATTGGGACAGAAATCATATGACTTCCTGGCAACCAGTTATGAGAGTCTACAGTCGCTGATTTGTAATACGATGTAGCAAATTATTTGCTGCCGTTATTTCCTTGGCTTTCGTTCAAGTCTTGGATGATTTATAAATAACGTGTATATAAGTTTACTTGGAGGGCATAGATACTTGACTCCATACTTGTACAAATGGTTAACAGCTCCAGTTTGGACCAAAGAGATTAGGGAAGAAAAACAGTGCATTAATGAGTTGCAGCAAAAAAAGCCATTATGTAACAATTTCATAGTTTTTTTTTTTGTTACAGAAATTATCTTAAAATTGGGCCTGGACGACAATAAGGGAAAGCAAACGGCCTACACATACTAGTAGCGCCCAGTAGTTTTATGGCCTCCATTAAACAGCCCTGCTTAATCATTTGATGGCCTCTGATTACCATCTGTGCTTTTGTAGTTTGATAGCCTCCGTTAACCAGCCACATTTAGTGAATTTGATAGCCTCCACTTACCAGTTGCAGTTACTAATTTAATGCCCTGTGTTTCAAATGTAAACCTTAGTTTTTGATACAGGTTGATATATTTACTCCTACTTAATTTATTTTTTAGTTGGCCCACAATTATATGATTCATCCCGGTCTCCTGGTTTGGCTGTCATAACAGCGTGCAGCATTTATTGAACGCATGAATGTAACTCCTTGTCCAGACTATAAAATTTTACTTGACAAAAACATGTTGCATGCCTGAATATGGTCATGATGACATCATATCACATCATGACCATATATGTCCGTATAGTCATTAGGTGACCATATATAGGCACATAATGACTATATACGGGCACACAATAATTTTTTTTTTGTCAAATACAATTTCATATTCTGGATAGGGCCTAACGATTGGTCATAAAACCACAGCATTAATTTATAGAATATAAATAATTATCAAAAATATGACTTAAATCATCCAATCTCTGTATTCTGTGTTAAATAAGTGAAAATATTTTGTATTAGAAAACTAAGTTTCTATAATTCACTCCAAAATTCTGTCATAAAATCTTCCACAATACAGTTGTGCCTTTGATAGTACCAAATGTGTTAACAGTTTACAAGCAAGCATCTGTGTCTTCTCTTTCCTTTAATGTAGTCCAGACTATCAAGTTTTGTAACTAAACATGGTTATGATGACATCATATCATGACCATATATAGACACATCATGACTATATATGGGCGTTCAACATTTTTTTGTCAGAGAAAATTTGATAGTCTGACAGGGGTTAACTTTGTTTACCGCAGTGCATGCACGGTTTCAGTTTTACTGTATGTCATGGTTTTAAATGACTGATTTAATTGAGTGTTAAAAAGCAGAAATTGTTCAACCAAATACAATTTTTTTTTTTAACTATAATTCATTTCCTGTTAAACCTGATTTTTATTTAAAATTTTCTCATTGAGGCCCAATAAATATATTAGATTATTGCCTGCATAAATTTTGTCAGAATCCCTGATTTTACACCCCACCCACTTTTTTTTTTTAATTAGGTTATGGCTCCCGTTACCCTGTCTAACCCATTTATAGGGAATGCTATTGTCGAAAAATTGATGTATTTAACATGTTCAGCCAATTTCTATTATGTGCAATGACCATGTTTTTTTTTTTTCCATGGCTAACTTTGTTGAATTGGCATGATTGAAATATATATATATATCAAACCCTTCCTAATCACTTTTCCAAGGGGTAGTGATTAATCATATTTGTGGGAGATTAGCCAGCTGTTTTAATCTTTGGCATGGTCTAATATTAATTAGATCAGCCATTCCAAAGCCAAACAACATAATTTAACAAAAATATAAAAGTAGTTACGTTGTTTTTCCAACGGACGGCCGAGATGCTCCGCACTACATGTACTGTCCTTCATATATTACCGGCCGTATATTCACAATGCGCTGCGGTAAACAAGGATTACTACTGTACTAAACGGGAATGATACGTGCAAGGCTGTTTGCGAATCTTCCGCAAATGTCATAAGCATCTTATATTCTGTTTATTCTTGCCTATGTACTTTTGTTTTTAACGCAAGCTTTAGAAAGGTGTAAATAAGATTTTTGTTGTGCAATATATGACATGTGTAAAAACATGGCGAAATGATTCACAATTTGATACAAATGCACCGTGAAAGATGATTTCCAAATGTGTTCTTTTTGATAAGTAAATGAATTTTTCAAAACTTATATACTTGGTGAAACAAAAGCAAACATGTGGAAAATGAATATGCATGGTGTTGTTTTTTGCCATCATGTTTTCTTCAGCTGTTATTGACTTTGCTACAAATGACTTTTGCAGCTGGTGGGCTGTTGTTTGATAGGAATTCACTCTTATTGAGGCTTGCTATTTAGGCTGTGAAACCGCAGTCGTGATAGGTAAAGACAACAGTAACCCAATGCACTAAATTTGATAGCTTAGGTCTACTTGGCAACGTGCAAACCCAGATTTTAAAATTTCAAAATAATTGGGAAAAAAAAAATGGTGGAAATTATATGTGGGGAATGGGGGGGTTTGAATGTGTTTTTATTCTCTACTGAAGGAGTAGATTTGTTACTGTATGTATGGGTGGGTGAGTGTGTCTGTGTGTGTGGGGAAATGTGTATGGATATTTGTTTAGGTGCGTATGAGGATATCCATGAGAGTTTGTGTACATTTAATCCTCAGTGGTTTTTATATTGAAATGTATCTAATTTCTTGTCAGTACTCGGTTTGTTTTGGACGTAATCTCTGGGTTTGCACGGTCTAGCCTTATCGCATAGGTCTCATATATTTACGCAATAAGTTCTGATCATTGCTTCTTCCATTTGTAAAAGTATAGCTCTCGAATTCGACTCCAGAGCGAATTCATTATCAGTAACCATTACAATATGAAATTTAAATTTGCTCTATTTTATGAACCTTTTATTCTATTTTTCCAGTTTTCATGTCACCTTGATCAATTTCAACATTGTCACGGAAATATTGAAATATTTGTATTAAAACATTAAAAAAAATCAAATTTAACAAAATTATAATTCCCTGTTGCAATGTAATAAATGCCACTGAAATAGCTCATGCTGTTACCATAGCAACTAGCCACTTCTTAATCTAAAAAGTTTTTATTTTAGTATTCATACTTAGGCTAAGTATATGGTTTATTTTTTTGTTGTTTTTTGGTCACAAATGTCTTGGTTTTATATATTAATGTTATACTGAGTTCTATTTGTATATCTAGACTAGTATTATTATTTTCCTTGGCTAAATAAGGAAACAGGTCCTGCTAGGGTATTCTCTTAAAAGCCAATGGGAATGAAGTATACACATACAAATCCTCACACCCTTTACACACACACATACTTGTAGGCCCAACTTTGAATGATTAGAAGTGGATATAAAGGTTACATTTTAAGTGTTTAAGCCTAACTTTTACCAGGTTCAGAGAAAATATATTCTGTGTCATAGGTGGGCTAAATCTACTCAAACATAGCATTAAACATTCATGTGCTACATTGATTTTGCATCATGAGGATGTTTACTTAATGTAGTATCGTTGATGATAGTAAATTTAAAGTGAATTTCATGCTTCTTAGAAATCAACCTGTTTCTTCCTGATTAGCGATAAATATCGTCTGCTGATGACATCCTTATAAGGAGGTGTATTATTGCTTATATTGTGTAATATTCATTGAATGATTACATGACTATTGCACAAGACCTGCGGTTGTTATTTTACCTCATACTTTTACCGGTTTCTGTGTTATAGATCAAGAAAGTTGGTCAAATCTAGGTGAAATCATCTTGAAAGGTCATAAGGAAGTTATTTAAAAATCTAGTTGAGGATGCTAAATAAAAATGTGGAAACTCCTCGAAAATATTTGAAATATAAAATAATTAATTGTAAAGCTATTAAATTTATGGGAAAATACCTGTGATTTGCTAATATAGATGTACAGTATGATATGAGGAATGTGGAAAAAAGGATGGTTTTTGCCCCTTTTTCGTCCAGTTTTTAAATATTAAAAAATCTGTATCCCATTAAATGTTTCAGAGTTTTTCATCAAATGTGCTGTTTTTGTCTTAGAAAAATCAGCTCTACAACACATCAAAAATTGGGGGTTTTTCTTGCCGGAGCCTGGCTTTAAGGAGGATTCTTCTCCAGTCTACAAAATTAAAATACCTCATTTGTTTGTATTTTTTTTTTTTTTATCTTATTTTATTCATTTTGATGTAAATAATAAATAGAAAATCTAGTTTATTGTGGAGCTGCATAGTACTCAAATCTGAATGTCGCCAGCGTTGCATGCTATCGAGAATTAAACACACACAATAATTGTACACCACTGATAATATTATTTCCATATACATAACGGCAAAACATGTGCTTTTACCTGCAACTTTTTTGTGAAATCCCATAGGAATAATTGTTCCTGTACCAGGAAGGAATAATTGTGTATATAAACATCAATCACTGCCTAACAGGACATGTGACTTTGAGTTTTTTATATGCTAGTATTTTTTTTTTTTTTTTTTTCTTTTTTGTACATTTTATTTAAAGTTTGTTAGCAGCTGTTATTTATATTTGTATTCATACTTTCAATGAATTTTGAAGGATGGATGCGTGCCTGGAAGATTGTTGATAATCTTTCTGTGTTGCAGGATACATACAGTTTGTTGGACAAGTTATATCCCCACCCTTCTCCACCTGCTCTTTCCAAAAATAATTATTCATAATATACTTATCCAATAATTCAGTTTTCTGATTAAAGACATAAACGGTGTAGTATTTAGCTTTAAGCATTTAATAACAGTAGGATTTAAAATAAAACCTTTATGCTGCAATATCTTCCAATTAATAAAAAAAAATATATGTTGATATTTTAAGGTTCAGAATTTATCTGAATTAGGTTGATACGTTGTTTCGGAAATGACAGTGGAAGTAACCTTTACGGTTCTGTTTAAGCTTTATCCTGTATCCTTGAATGTTAAAGTGCCCTGCAAGTGAACGCAGGTTGGGCTACGAATCTAACATCCCAGGCATAATGCTAAATTTCTGCCCAAGTATTTAACAGTTGAGGAGAGAAGGGTACCAACAGGTTAGGCCAGGAATTTAATTGAACACAGCTTGGGCTATGAATGCAACAGTTTAGGAACATAATGCTAAAGTTTGGCCCAAATATTAAACAGTTGAGGAGAGGAGGGTAACAGATTGGCCCAGAGGTGCAGCAGGTTAGGCTAGGAATTTAATTGAACACAGCTTGGGCTATGAATGCAACAGTTTAGGAACATAATGCTAAAGTTTGGCCCAAATATTAAACAGTTGAGAAGAGGAGGTTAACAGATTGACCCAGAGGTACGGTTAGGCTAGGAATTTAATAACGGGCTTATGTTTAATAGTTATACCAGAAAAGTATGAAACAGCTCAGTCTGGTATGGAATAGTTAGACTAGAGAATTCAACAGTTAAGGCCTGAAATGTTGCAGCTTATGCTTCAATTTCCAGAAAAGCTAAGCTAGGAGTTTGTGCCAAGAATGTAGTATTTTGGCCTTAATCATTGCATATCATTTTGCACCATGAATTAGGCATGAATGGTGTAATAATATTAAATTGTGCATGGATTGCCAACAATTCAGTAATATACAAGGAAGGTGGAATAGTGTTACAATGGCAACAGCATGCAAATTGTTTGGAAGTGTAACCAGTTGCGGTCAAAGATAATATTTGAACCATATGGTGTTAATTCTTATTCAGTACTAGTGGCTATATTTTTGCAACAGGTAATAATAATTAAAATTGTTTCGAAATATTATAATTATAGAGTTCAGTTATTTTTAACCATTTCTTGATTTTCATTAAAAAAATAATTGATTTTATCTGAATTTGAGTATGCTATAAACAGAAGTTATTCTGAAAATACTGTATTGTTAATTTTGTTTGTATGAGTGTACTGTTTCTCAGGAGCCTATAATTAATGCAAAGACTACAAATTCCAGCTTTTTGAAATCAGCCTTCGGAGTAAAAATGACCCTGGCGGTTAAAATTTACCCCTGATGGCTAAAATTCCCCCTTAACCCTCAATTGCAGGTACAATCTGTTAGCCATGATCTAAATCTTGCGCCCTCATTTTTGTCACATATATTTTATTGTAATATTTTATCTTTTTGTGTCTATTAGCTGGAGGTCCAATTGGCCGATACAGGGTGAATTTATGAGGCAAATAAAACATTTTAAAGGTGTAATGGGGCCTACAATACATGGCTGAGACTTGTCTAGATGAAAGCCAGTGCTGTGTGTTAATAATGGATGATTATGGGATAATTTAATTCTTTCATCTGTTGTTGAGAGAATGCATTCAATTTTGTGAGATGTTTTGTACAAGACTATTGTAGTATTAATAGTGTAAGATTCCCTGTACGAATTTATCCTCTTGTTCAATTGTAAATATTTGAGGTATTTTAATAAAAGAAACAAGCTTAAGTTTGTTGTTATTTGTTTTTGTTAGCATTTCTGAAGTCTTTAGAAATTTGCAGATTTAACCAGCCTGGGTTGGCTTTTTCTCTAAGCGCCACCCCCTAAAGGCCAACTCAGATAGCGTCGTACGACGCAGCCCGACTCGATCTGTGTGAGTTAAACGCAGACGCGATGGTGTGCGTCGGGGGAAGCCGCGTCGTAGATTATTATACATGTTTAATATTTCTCACGACGGCTTAAGACTGTCCCCGACGATAAATCGGGTCGGGCTGCGTAGGTCGACGCTGTCTGAGTTGGCCTTTAGAGAGTAGGGTACTTTTGATTGCACGACGACGGTAGAACATAATGACATCAGTGAAAGTTATCTGCGCATGCGAGAACGTTATGGTCACCTCATCGGGTACATTCTGGAATGCAAGTTGGCTAAATCTATGTATGCAACGAACATAGGACGGCAGGTAGGACGGTCATGCATGAGTGATTCCGTTCTAGCGTCGCGTCGTCGCACAAATCGAAAGCTCTCTATTTCTACTGTCTTACTGCAGCTTCTGGCCAGAAAGTGACTAATCACTGGCTTCTGGCCAAGAAGGTATCAATCACTGCTAGCGACGCAATTTCAAAGCTGCAATATCTATGGAACACATTCTGCACTACCTGGTTTTCCTAGAAACAGCTCTTGGTATAGATCCTACCATGTACCCACTCACACTGGGTTTTAAGAAAACCTTAGATAATTTTGCCAAGGACACAAGCGACCAGCATAGTGAGGTTTTGAACCCCCAACCTCAAGGTAGAAATTACCAATCACTTCTACAGCAGACATGAAAATAAACACAATTATGTATTTAGGCCTATATAGAGTGTACCCTCTAATTCCTAGATCCCTCAGATTCGAGACCACTTTTTCAAATAACTAAATAACAATACCAAAGCTAACAAAAGGAAAAACCAAGAAACCACCCCAAATTATCAGGAAACTTGGTCTCGAATTATAACAATATTTTAGTAATATGTTGTATGTATACAACAGCCCCTGTTACATGATCATATTGGTGCCACATGGGGCCTAACAGAATTCTTGCCTTCTTTCTTTTTTGTTCTGGGCTGTCTCTTATATTCTAGCTATTGGATTTGACTAACTACTCTCACTCCAAGCCATCTATCGTATTGGTCATCTCTTTAATTCTTGTACTGTATTGGGTTTGACCGCTTTCTCTCTCCATAGTCCTCAAACATGTCTGAATATGACCCAAATATTATGACAACAGGGACGACGCACGCTACAACGGATTCACTCATGCGAATCCACGTGACAAGAAATCCGAGAAATCTTGCGCAGATGACTTTTTATTGACGTCATTACATTCTACGCCCTACAGCGTCGTGCAATCGAAAGCATCCCTAGTCTGTTTTTCAACGCGTGCATACACTGTCGAAGTCGGATCAAACATCGCCCAGTTTGACAGACAAAATATTATGATGGTGTATCGTGTGCATGGCAATCAAAACAAATCCATCCTGTTATGACTATTGTCTTGTTTTCCAAGTATTGCGGCCATTACGTCCACCCACCAGTCTTTCTCACTTGACCACTGATTTCCTTATTTATCTTTTCTAATTTCCATTTATTTGTATGGCATGGTAAAGGCAAGGTGACAGGGCGAATTAGCGCAGCTGCAATGGGCTAGAGAGATGGAACGAGTTCTAGACATGCTAGTAGGGGACTTTCGATTGCACGACGACAGTAGAACGTAATGACGTCAGTAAAAGTCATCTGCGCATGCGAGAACGTTAAGGTCACCTCGTCGAGTAAATACTCGAACGCAATATGGCTAAATCTACGTTATGCAGATAACGTAGAACGCCAGGTAGGACGGTCACGCATGAGTGATTCCGTTCAAGCGTCGCGTCGTCGCACAAATCGAAAGCTCCGAGTGTCGTACTTGCTTTGTCTTTTATGTGACATTGGGTCAGACACTCTGCTCTATTGACCTTTCCGCTAACCCCAGCCCCTTGGATCTTGTTGCTATGGTCCCACAAAACATTGTAAACGTACGTTTAGACGCTTGCATTTGCGGGACAGTACATGTGTTGATAGGACACACGCATCCCCTTTTCTGATTGGTCAGTTAATGTTGATTGGCATCCCGGAAGGATGAATTATCTCGTCCTTCGGGCAGGACGTTAACACATTGCCTCCGTGTGCTTGACACATGCGCACAAAAAATAACATGCATACTAGCACAATTTACAAAGATTAGGAGATTGCCTCCTCGGGTGCTGAGCATGGAAAGAACTGAGCAGCCGCTGTAAGTATCCAGTGGATATATGTATATAGGCCTACATTTTAATTTTCATTTATACGCCTATGTACATCTACAATGGATAATACAAATACCGAGTTTATATGCGTTACTGCTATAACCTTAATCCCTTGTTTCTCAAAAATCGTCATTACACCTGGACGCACGGTGAAGGTCGCGTAGATTAGTTCCGATTTGCAAGTTTCCAAAATTCAACTGGCTAGACATTATAAACAGGATCTGATAGTGCTATTATTGAATAACACCAACCTATTATTTTCTTCTGTTCCTCTGCTCTTTCAATCATGTCGCCTGCTTATGCCAACTAAGGTACGAATAGTGATTGCTTCCTCTCTCAATGTTTCCTGTATATGTTTTGTTGAAGGTGGATACTGATATAAGCAAGTGTTCAAAACAACTCTCACTAATTTTACTTAATTTTTTTTTTCTTGTTTTTGTTTAATAACCAAAAGAAACTTCTCTCTACTCGCTTTGTTTTTGCTAAAACTGTTTTCAATTCACCCAAAGCATCTGTAATATGTTTTCTTTACAGAGGGCCGGATGCAGTAATATATTTCAAATAGACCTACTTCTCTAGACAGTTTTTCATATAAATTATTACGGTATTGCCGCGTGCAATCTAAGCACAACACCATTAATAATGCAATATCCCTATCTATAAATGTTTCCCTGTATCAAATTCTCTTTAACTATGGGAATTTGATGCATGACCCATGAGAAGATAAACAATGTAAACCACAATGACAGTATAACGTTACGTCATAAGAAATAACATTATTATAATATAGTTCTATTCAGTTACTCATCAACGTCTGTTCAGCGTCTGGATGAGACCACAGTGGCATGGGCTGTATGAAGGACCAGTACACCGGGGTAACCCGGCCTGCTTGTTTCGAAGGATGTACTAGGTTCTTTAAAGTGCACAATGGCCAGTTGTGTACACTGGGCCTAAGGTTTATAGTCCTTATCCGAGAAGACTTGTTCCACCTCCAGAACCATAGACGAGCCTGCCATTCGAACCCAGCGCCGATATTATGGCTGTAGGTTGCACCCTTGCCTTAAACACTGCCATTTGACTCGTCTATGATTATATAGCATATTGCTATATTGAAGTCCACTTTCGGATATGTATGATTGTAATATGAATTTCATGTGATAAAGGAATCATAATTTCTTTTGATTTTTTTTTTTTTTTTTGATTTTTTTTTTGACCCTCGAGCGTAAAAGTGAAAAATGGAATCGCCCATACACGGCCTGTGTTTTGTTCTGTACTTAGACACTGTATAACTCTATGGAGTGACTGCTCTAGTTTGCTTACGTGTTTTGGTTTTTTGCCAAAAAGCTGTTGTATCTAAATCTAAATATAGACATTTATATAGCGCTTTTCGCCAATGGATACATAGCGTTTAGATATATGGACTAGGAACTCGATCAATGACTTTCTTCTCCCCTAAGGG